AGGCTATGGTATGGTTTTAATTACTGATAAAATGTATGGTTGGCCATTTTACAGTATATAAGAATTGTTGGTAATCTTTTTATATGAAAATGTATTGCTGATATTTTTATTATAAAAAGGTATTTTTATACCTTTATAATGTTTTGTTTTTGTTTGAGGCTTCATTATTTTCCCATGGCTGGGACCCTAACAGGTGCTACCACACTGGGTTATAGTGGATGTGAAAACAAGAACAATTAAGTTGTGATTCCACGTCTTTCAATACCGCCAATCTCTCGAAAAGATCACGGACTGCCAATGTTGCTTATCGTCACGCCCAGGACACGTGTACACACACACACACACACACACACACACACACACACACACACACACACACACACACACATATATATATATATACACACACACACACACACACACACACACACACACACACATATATATACACACACACACACACACACACACATACATATATATATATATATATATATATATATATATATATATATATATATATAATCGACTCTCCCGTCGAGTTCGACGTATGAGGGTCAGGCCGATAAGTTTCAGGAAACCGACATCCCGACATCGGCACATGAGATTTGATTATAGTGGTGAAGGCCTCGTGCAGGACCAGCCACACTTTTTATATATATATATCAAGCGTGAACATGTCATTGCGGTTCCTAGCTGTGAAAGTCTGAGCTGGTTTGGGAACAGGAATAGTCCGACTGTTAATAAATTTTGAATCTATGGCACTGAATAATTACGTGGATATAGTTCGACATCATATATATATATATATATATATATATATATATATATATATATATATATATATATATATGAATAATGTAATGGAATAAACTGTCATCCCTATGAGTGACTACACTATGGGTAGTAACTACCTATAACTATCCATAAGTCAACGGACTACAGGGACTCGCTGAAATCTTTACAGCTGGCTGGTCGAACTCTCTGCCTCTTAGTAGAGAGGAACCCAGACGAGGCTATGCCGAAAGGCATAGTCTCGTCTTGGGTGGTAGACCGACCTGACCCCGTTTTTTACTGTGCCTACGGGGAATTTTTGCCCGAGGCTACGGGCTCAGACACCCTACGTTAAATTCGGCCTTGTGCCACATCCAACCGCATGGAGCGGTTGACAAATATACAAGTTGAAATCGTTTTCACCTCTGCCGGTCGAAGGCAGAAAGGAACCCGAACGAGGTTATGCCGAAGGGCAGAGTCTCGTCCGGGGAGGTAGACAGGCCCGAATCCGTTCTAAATGGAAATTTTGGCCGCGCTAGTGTCTCGGATGACCCACGTTAAACTCGGACTTGTGCCACATCTACCCTTGTGGTGGTGGTGGAGGGGATTAGTAAATATTGACTAGCTGGGATCTGTTCCAGCTGTGCTGTCGAACTCTCTGCTTTCGGGTTGAGAAGAACCCGGACGAAGTTATGCCGAAGTACAGAGTCTCGTCCGGGGAGGTAGACAGATCTGAACCCATTTATGCGGGATCTGCGGGGAATATTTGGCCGTAAATTTCTCCGCTATTTTAAAATAAATTATACAACAGGTAAAATAAAGAACAGAGATATGAAAAAAAAAAAGGATATTCGTAGTAGTAACTAGAGCGGACATTTGCCAACTGTTGGAAAATTACACGCATACATAAAACAACTTAAATTTCAATAACATATTTAACGGCAGGGTGCGATTGTTTGTAAATAACTTAACGGTGATTATATTGACATACCAAAACTAAGAATTTCAAACGTTTCTACACGTTTATCGGATAGTCAGCAACTGATTTTATGTGAAAATAAGACAAAAACAAAATGAAGATTTTATATTATCTCGTACATTCACTGCTCAAAAATTGCAAGAAAATTGTGAAGAAATTACTGGATAGTCGGCTCTACAATTTAAAATGGCATTGACAACCAGTGTACCGTTGTAGAATCCTCCCTTAGGGATTACTTGAGCACTTAGACGTTGTGTAATCCTTAACAAACTTGTATCGTTGGATCAATTACGAATGAATAGTTTGCTCATTTCTCACTGCGTGACCCATACTTTCAGCTTTGTGCCAGACCTAAGCTACGCTTAAAAAATCACCATATTGCACTTGTTTCGGATTACGCTTCTATCAACGGAGGTTGAAATTTATATGAGGTTCTAGCGCCAGAGGGAATGCCCCCAGTCAGTACCTCTTTTTCGCAAGGGGTTGGGTATTATTGTCTGTTGCAAGACGCTTCCACAAAGCTGATATATCTGAGGGGATTAAGTAATTTTCCCACTGTAGTGTCGTCAAACACACATTAAACTGACGCTTTCTAACATACAGCTGCGACATGAACGCTCTGGAAAAGACACCCTTAAGAGTTGCTTACATTCTTTCTTAAAATGTATGCCCTGATAGGGAGGACTTTCAGGACCCGACATTTTTAGCACTATTTTGATTTTAAGTGTGATATTACTTTCCTGAGAC